CTATTTCGCTCCCGTACTGTATCCGTTTTCATGATTACACTTGTTGGCATGCTATAAGTTTTATTATGGGCCATCCATATTTTACTTACTGAGTTATCTCATAGTTTTCCTTGTCCACCATTTCAGGAAGCGAAACTGAGGACGAGGAAACCACGGGAAGTGACGAGTTAGAAGGCTAGCCATCTTGTAAAGTGAACTTAGATTTTAGAAATAAATCATGATCTTGTAAACTCGACTTTATTGGAGATTTATGATATTAAAGCAAATTATAAAATTTGATCTTCAGATTTTGGTGGTATCAGATTGTGAATTGGATAAGTTCTGAGCCTTGTGCATTTGTAGGATCCTTTCACGAGTGCACGACATCTGCTACATCTCTGGATTTGGGTTTTGGGGCGTGACACATAAATTGGAAACTGTTCATGAAGGCATTAATGAAGTGAGGAAAAGTAAAATGAATAGGCTTGTGCAATAATATGAACTTTTTAAAATGAGTGTTGATGAAGATATTAAATCCATGTTTACTCGTTTTACAAAGTTAACTAATGAGCTTGTTCTTTTTGATAAGGTTTACTCGGAAGAAGAAAAGGTAAGGAAGATCTTGAGATCTCTTCCCAAAACTTGGAGCAACATTCACACCACCATTGAGGAAGCACATGATTTAAGTGAAATGACTACTAAAGTTCTCCAAGGAAAGCTACTCACCCATGAGATGGCAATGAAAGATTATGAAAGTGAAGATGAGAGTAAAAAGAAGAAGTCTATTGCACTCAAGGTGACTCAAAACAATGAAAGTGAAGAAGAAGATGATGACCTAGATGAGGACATTTTAACGCTTACAAGGAAATTCAAGAAATTCCTAAAGAAAAGTTGCTTTAAACAACAAGGTGGCTTCAACAAGGGCAAAAAGGACGAGATCATTTGTTACCGGTGCAAGAAACTTGGACAAATTAAGCATGATTGCCTCCTAAATGGTGAAAAGAGATTCAAAGGAAAAGAAAAGAGGAATAAGAAAGCTCTAGTGACAACTTGGAGTGATGGTAGCTTAGATGAAGAATCAAGTGACTCTGAAGTAGCAAAATTGTGTGTCATGGCAAAAGAAGAGGACACTCAAGAGGTAAGCTCTCAATCCATACTTAATGATGAGTTCAATTCTTTAGAAGATTTACAAGATGCATTTGATGAAGTTTATAAGGAATCTAAATAAGTGCAAAAAATTTCATCTTCAAAAAGACCATTACCTCTCTTTTAAATGAAAAAGAAGATTTACAAAAAGCTCTTAATGAAGTTACCCTCAAAAAGGAAGAGTTACAAAAATCTTTTGATGATTTATTTCTTGAAAATGCTCTTCTTAAGAAAAATGATTTGCACAAGATTGTCAATTCCTTGAGAAATGACAACACCAGTTTAAAAAGAGTTTTAGACACTCAAAATGAGTCTTTTGAGAAAGAAGGAAATATCTTGATTTCAAAATGCAATGAGTTTGAAAAGAAAAACAAAGATTTAGACAACACGATTTCAAAACTCATTGAGGGAAGCAATAAACTTCATACTATTTTGGATGCTCAAAGAGATACAAGCATCAAAACTGGTCTTGGGTATGACAAACCAAGTGGATCTAAGGCATATACCACTAAATTTGTGAAGGCTAATAGTTACCCATCTACTAGTTTTCAAAATCAAGGTGAAAGATCAAGCACTCAAAGGAGACCTACCATAACATGTCATTATTGTTGTAGGAAAGGTCATCATGTTTCTAGATGCCTTATAAAAAGAGATGCATCAAATGGATCTAGGTGAATATGGGTTCCAAAAGGACTAATAGCCCCACATATTAACACTCAAGGACCCATGCAACATTGGGTACCAAAAATGCAAATTTGAATTGTCTTGCAGGTATGATTGGTGGCAAAGTCAAAACACAAAAAGGATTAATCTTAATGTAGACTTATGCCTCAAAAAAAAAAAAAAAAAAAGAAAAGAAAAAACTTGGAGCAAAATTAAAAGAAATGAATTTTCTGTTGGAAGCTTCATAATTGTGTGGCAACCTTTAATTTGATGCATACATTTATCAATTTCTTATAGCTTGTTTTATGCTAATTTTCAATGTATTATGGAGAGTTATGATTAATCCTGGCATATGATGTTCTCTTTCAATAGTATTCACATTATTCAAATTAGTTACACATGATTATCCTTTGACTATTTGTGCTCATGCTTTTAATCTTGCTGAAGTAGTAATTGATATCACATTTACTTTTTCTTGAGTTATCTATTATGATCTCTTTGCTGTGAAATTTATATTTTTGAAGTGCATATTTGATCTTGCTTGATATGACTCAAATTTTAAAAATATCTCTCTTGAATTTACCGTTACTAATGATCAATTAACTGATATTTTTACTAAACCCTTAAGTGAAGATCGGTTTTAGAGGCTCACTAGGGAACTAGACGCTAAAAAGTCTATGAAAGTGTTGGAACCTAACCAATAGGTGTCGACACCTGAGCTACAGACGAAAAAGCCACAAAAAGTGTCAGAACCATCGTGTGTTCCGAGTCAGAACCTCCTTGGGCAAAGAGGCAGGTAGAATAATCAGGGGTTCCGCACCCCCTACAAGGAGTCGGAACCCCCCATGGGCCAATTTTCAATTTTTTTTCAGCCCACCTAAAACCCATCCACTTAAAGCTTACCTCGGGCCAAGCCTAACCTACCCAACCCATTAGCTTACTCACTCCCCTTAAAAGTCTTAAACTGTAACAGCAGCCATCTGCCCTCTAAATCAAAATCCCGAAAAGCCTCACTGCTGCACCATCGTGAGAAGCCCCACCAGCGGGAACCCAGAAAGCCCCTGCACCTCCCTCCACCGTGAGAAACCCCTCCAACAAGAAGTCGAGGACCCAGAAAGCCTCGCTAGCGGGAACGCAGAAAGCCACCACTGTCTCTTCCCATAGCACCTCGCCTCAGCCTCCTCGGTACTGGATGTCGCCGGCATATCCACGGAAACCACAAGTCATAAATCGCCAGAATCTCAGGTCATATGCTAGATTTGGAACTGCACGATGCCTCCCAAACGCAGAATCACGAATTCCAAGGCTGCCCAGAAGAGAAAACAGAAGGAAGCTGAACAGAGCATGGCATCCGACCAAGAAGAAGCAGTGATTTTCTGATGCTTAAATGCCTCATGGATTATTGCTACCCCTACATTTTTTTATAAACTATTTTCTTTTATGCACATTATGACACTTTTTTCTAGTTATAACACTATTTTTATGATTTAAGTTAATTGTTCCTGTGTGAGTTACTTGCTTTAGTGCACTAATGATTCTGCATTAAGTTGCTTAAGCAAAACATCGGGATTGCCTTTTTTATTATGACAAAAAGGGGGAGAAGCAGTGTGCAAATTCGAGATTCAAGCTTCAAAGAACCAGTGCATGGATTAAGGGGGAGATTTTCTTGAACTTAATCTCTTTATGCATATTTTCTTTTAAAGTTGATCTTTTATGCATTGCTTAATTTAGTAGTGCACATTTGGTTTTGTCATCATCAAAGAGAGGGAGAATGTTCTTCTTAATTTTAATGATTTAAAAACCAAATGCAAATTGGAATATTTACTGATTTGGATTGAAAGTTAATTGTGAATATATGATTTATTAATTGTCAGATATTTAATCTGAATGTGTTTCCTTTTTAGAGTAAGTCCATTTAATTGTATGATTATGTTTCCTTTATTGTTAGGGAACCAAAAATGAAAAGTGCATTCTACCATATTATTCTGGTTCTTAAAGTATTTATGTAGAATTTCCTCCAACGGTAAAAAGCATTGATTTAGCACTCTCAAGCTATAAAACTAGATCTGGAAAAGTGGAGAACGTAGAAGAACAAAGCCTTGAAGTTGAAAAATCAAGAGTGTTAAGCTTTTACCTTGTGTCTTAAAGAATTCTATTAAGTTTCTTGTTCTCCTTCATTATAACAAGTGAGAGAGGGATTGGGAAACCTTATTAGATCTAGAATCCATCTTTGAGATATAGGATGGGTTGAGAGATTTGTAACAAGGGATTCAAAAGGTTGATAGCACCAGCAAGCTATTATAATCGGTTTCACTAGCACTTGTTGAAACTAGTGTTAATGGATTAAATCTCGAGCATAGGAAACCTGAGGGTTGGATGTAGGCACCAAAAAGGGTGACGAACTAGGATAAATCGAAGCGTTTGATATTTCTTACCTACTCTTTTAATTTCTGCACTTTAAATTAGTTGTTCGCAATTGCTTGTGCTTGTTCATTGTTTTGTTTTTAGAAAGTTGTATAAAGTTTTTGAAAACCCAATTCACCCCCCTTCTTGGGTTGCCATTTGGGCCAACACTTACTAACAGAAAAAATGTTTATTTACCATACCTATAAAAAATTAGATAAAAATATTTTAAAATTATATTTTTTCAATTTATTTCCTTTGAAAAAACTAAAATAATTTACTTTTTAAAATAAAACAACACTATTTTAGTATTTTTTGTGATATTTTATTAAAATGACATAATTTTAAAGTATTTTTTAGCTAATATTTTGCAAGTTTGATTGATAAATACTATTGGCCTAGATGATAGCAACCCAAGAGGGGGGGTGAATTGAGTTTTCAAAAACTTTATACAATTTTCGAGAGCCAAACAATAAAAACTCACAAGCAATTATAAATAAATAATTTAAAGTGCATAAAACAAAAGTTAAGGGAAGAGAAAGAAAGTTCAAACACAAGGATTTATAGTAGTTCAATCACAATCTATGCCTAGTTCAATCTTCAAGCCACTTGCTTAAGAGTTTGCTTTGGATTCAAAATCTCTTCTCCAACTTTCAATTGTAAAGGCAACCTTTTGTAATAACTTTGTCAGCACTATCCACCTTCAACAACTCAACCTCTTGTTACAATCTCTCATAAAACCAATCCTATACCACAAGGTTGGTTATCTTTAGATCTAACAAGATTACCCAATCACTTTCCAATAGCATTATGGATGCTATTGCACCATTCAATTCTCTTGTTATAAATCTCTCAACTCTTCTGATAATTACAAAATACATTTGAGTGATTAATTAGTTCATTTAAATGTGTAGTTAAATTGCTAAAAGATTACAAAGTAAGTAAACTAAGATTGCAAAGTAAACTAAGATTGTACTAAAAAGAACCAAAGCGGCTGGACATTGTGTAGAGAGTTGGCTTAAAGAAATCTGCAACCAGCTTTGGAAGGTAAAAGTGCAGAGAGCTGGCTCTAAAAGCTGCAACTGGCTCTATAAGCTGCAACTGGCTCTATGGGTGAAAATTTTAAGCCTGAAGTTGGCGCACAAGGAAAATGGGTGCAAAGCCAGCTTTAACTTTACAACTAGTTGTGATGGTGCATTTAATGCACAATGGTCAAGTTATTTGAAGATTATTTAATGTTTTTAAAGTCAGAATCTCAAAGTCGACTTTGCGTTTTGCATTTTGCAATCGGCTCTATGAAGAAAACAGAAAGTGTAGGAAACCCACAAAGCCAGCTACAGAATTCTAAGCCAGTTGTACAGAGTCGGCTCTAGACTTTAAGCCAGTTGTACTAACAATTCTGCAACTTGAAATTTCACGAGTTGTAGAGCATTTAATGACCCCCAATGGCTAGAAATGGCTATTTTTGGTTAAGGGGCTATAAATATGGTTGGTAACAGATATGGAAGAAGTTTCAAGAGCTTTATATTGAATATCTCTACCTACCAACTTGTGCTTTAACCTGAGTTTTTGATTTTTGAGTGATCTTTGCTTGTAATTCTCTTCTTGTTCTACTTGTGTGTCATCTTGGGGGTGTGATTATTCCTTCAAGAGTGATTGTAGAGAGGATTCTTGGGGTTTATCTTGTAAAGGGATGAGATTTGAGAACAACACCCATCTTCTTATAAAAGGATTGAGTGGTCCTTTAAGCCACTCTTATTTTTCTTAGTGGAGAGTGTGAAGGAAATCTTTAGTGAGTGAAGCCAAGGTAAAGGACTAGGCTTCAAGTGGTTGGACCGAATCTTTATAAAATCATTATGCAAGCTCTTATTTTTTACTCTCTTTTTAATTTTTGTTTGGTGGTTGTAAAGAGGTGAAAATTTTCCAACTGCAATTCACCCCTCTCTTGGAGTGCATTGAACTAACAGTTTTAAATCCACAAAATAAGAATAACAAATATTAATATCAATTATTACTTTTATCCCAAAATAATTATCATTTTTTACTTTTTTCCTAAATTAAGGATTTGGGGACAATATTTGTATTTATCTGTAATCCCCTTAAAAAATAAAAAATCACAAATATTTATCCATCTTGAAAAATGAAAAAATAACAATTAATTTGAGATAAATTCAAAATAAAAAACAACAACTATTTTAAAATGAAAGGAGTAATATAATATGAATAAATGTTTGACTAAATTAGTGATAGTGCCAATTGGTGATCTTTTATTATGATCAATATATTTGATAAAAATAATTTTAAACCAAATTATCAAAGTTAATACCTTTAAACCAGATTAAAGCATGTTTTGATCAAAATTTTTCACCAAATTAAGTTTTTTCTTGGACTTATTATTTTCTTGTCCCAAATATTCTATATAAATAAAAAAACATTTTCTATTAGTGGTTGAAGCACTAAGTACAATAGAAAGTTTGAAATATTTTTCTCAAGTGTACACTAGGGTTCTATGCTTCTTCTCCAGCCTTTTTTAGAAATCCCTTTAGAGTTTAAACCTTCGAAAAAGCTATAGTTACAATGTCACATGTCATTGTAAGCATACAACATAATATATCATTATATAATTAGTTCTTTTATTTAAGGGTCTATTTGTGATATTATATGTATCAACTTATTTAATGCCACATCATATTTCATTAAAGACCACGTAGGATTGTAAGCTTACAATCGTATGTAGCATTGTAACTATAGCAATATTATTAAACCTTCGGACTCGTATCTAGATTTAACTACTTGTTATAGCCCAAAATGGAAAGTCTTTGATTTACTTTAATTTCAAGTTTCCATTAAAGGTCTAGGAACTTGTTAACATGTCTTGAACCTTAATGACTTTCCTACAATCATTACGAGGGTTATTGAGATATGGAAAGTGTTGTACCTATGATTTTGATTATTACAAAACATATTTGAGTGACTAATTGGTTCATTTAAGTGTGTAGTTAAATTGCTAAAAGATTGCAACGTAAGCAAACTAAGGTTGAACTAAAAATAGACCAAAAAGGCTAAACATTGTGCAGAGAGCCGACTTAAAGAAATCTGCAACCGACTCTAGAAGGTAAAAGTGTAGAGAGTTGGCTTTAAGATCTACGGCCGACTTTACGGGTGAAAATTTTAAGTCCGAAGTTTGGCACATGCGGAAAACGAACGCAAAGCTGACTTTAACTTTGCAACTGGCTGTGATGGTGCATTTCATGCACAACAGTTGAGTTATTTGAAGATTATTTAATGTTTTTAAAGTCAAAATCCCAAGGCCAGCTTTACATTTTGCAGCCAACTATGTAAGAAAACAAAATGTGTAGGAAACGCAAAAAGCTAGATATAAGATTCTAAGTCGGCTATGCAAAGTCGACTCTATACTTTAAGCTGGCTATATTGACAATTCTTCAATTCGAAATTACACAACCTACAAAGCATTAAATGACCCCTCAACGGTTATTTTCGACTGAGGTTATAAATATGGATGGTAGAAGATCTAGAACAAAATTAGAGAGCATTGTATTGAATATCTCTACCTACCAACTTATGCTTTAACTTGAGTATTTAATCTTTGAGTATTTTTGCTTGTAATCCTCTTTTTGTTCTATTTGTGAGTGATTTTAGGGGTGTGATTATTCCTTCAAGAGTGATTTGTAGAGAGGATCGTTTGGGTTTATCTTGTAAAGAGGTGAGATTTGAGAAAAATACTCATTTTCTTGTAAATAGATTGAGTGGCTTCTTTAAGCTATCTCTGTTCTTGATAGTGGAGAGTGTGGAGAAAATCTTGGGTGAGTAAAACCAAGGTAGAGGACTACGCTTCAAGTGGTTGCACCGAACCTCTATAAAATCATTGAGTAAATTCTTCTTCCTTACTCTCTCTAATTTTTTGTTTTGTGGTTGCAAAGAGGAGGAAAATTTTGAACTCCAATTCACCCCCCTCTTGGAGTGCATTGAGTGAATAGAAAGTTCTAGAACTTATGTAATTGACTTTGAGAGTTTTGAAACTTATGAACATGTATTGAAATTTGTCAAATTTCTCTTATAAACTTGGAAGGTCAGAGGTTGAAAATGTGTTGAAACTTAAGGTCCGTTTGGTATAATGGTTTAGAGGTAATAGTTAGCGGTTTTATCCAAACCGTTAAGAATAATATTTGGTAAAATTTTTTTTCGAAACCACTACAAATTAAGTATTTGATACAATTTTTATTTAGTAGTTTGGGACTAGTGGATAACGATTAGGATTCAAGTCACTAACGAATTGAAAAAACTACCTAAGCTAATTTTTTCTATTAAACTACTAGCATATTAGAATTTTTTAATTTTATTGACAAATTTATTATTTTAAATTTTTAAATTTTTTCCATTGTTTTTAATTAGTATTTATCTAATTAGTTTTAACTTTATTTTTTTGTCTTTATTAATATTAAGTAATTATT